AAAAACTACTAGCTAGTTAGAACTCTACTTTTCTCCGAAATGTTGATTACTCACCTAAAAGGTTGACAATTTGTAGCTAAAAAAATATTCCGAAAAATAGATCCGAAATACAAATCCAGCTTATTCTTATGTAAGATAACGTCTAGAACCCTATGATGAGTTTGACGTTTCACGTATCGTCAAACTGAATCTTACTAGATAATAGTCAGCTTTTTACCCACATACTCGGATAGGGCAGAGAATATCGAACATAAAGAAGTTCTATGTATAACGGTTTTTCCTTCTGCACGACACTAGCTCAGTTGTTTAGGCTGTCCGAAGTAGCAGTTGTTGACAAGCAAGATCATCTCCATCCGATTTCAGGACCCACATTATTACCGATGTTAATGCTGGTCCGAAAAAAATCACAGTGCTGTACTTTTTCGAAAGTATATATAACTGTAAACAGCAGAATGAGGGCTGAGTAGATTATTTACTTGCTGGCAGGAAATATTTCATCTTGGCTTTGACCCGCTGCTTTGCTTTCATATCCAACTTCAAAAAGGCAGAATAAACGATGCGTTTATTGAGACCGATGAAGTCGATAACACCTCTTGTAAGCTCTTGTGAAATATTATTGATGAACGATTTGGTTCTGCAGTTCTTATTATCTTCTCGAACATCACGTTAAAAAAGTCGCACGTTTGGAAATCGCCCTGTCTGAAACCTCGTTTGATTCCGAACGAATTGGAGATGTTCTTTTCAATTCTGACGCAGGAGATGGTGTTGCTCAACGCCATTTTGCACAACGTTTTACCTCAAGAAGTTCGTTTTCGTGCTATAAAATCGGATTTAAAATAGACAAAGAAAAAATCCAAAGAAATTTGTAAGCCGTGTTTAAGAGCCTGATTCCATTGTAGCTGTCTATATGATAAAACTTTTGGGCGAGTGCTACTTGAATGAAAAAAAAAAATAAAAAATCCGGAAAGTGTAGCAAATTTCGGGAATAACCCAAATAGAACAATGGGTAATGAGAGAAAACAGGAGATATATTAATATTCTGGAGGGGTATTTTGGAATGATCAACAATAGAAATTTGTTATTGAAGAAAAATAATCTTTTTTATAATTTCTTCAATTTATAACGTATGTATTTTCTGCTATGTTCGTATTTACACAATTCTAGGTAACTGCAAAATCTTTTTTAGATTTTGCTTTTGCCAATTTTAACAATGTCAGATTCGCAGGTCCAGATTTCGCTACTAGTGGTGATAACGTAGGTAAATATCAAAGTAGGACAAGAAACTTTTTCCTGCAGGGTAGTTAGAAATTTAAACATGCGCCAATATTATTGTAAAATTTACACTGGTTCTTCTTGTCCGCTATATGTATATATATAAATATCATTTAATTTTCTCCTGAGAGTTATTTGCGATTTAATTTGGATGATAATTTAAAATTTGTTTCGTTAATGATTCCATTAGCCAAATTAAGGGGGCGATAATCCAGCACACATGTAAATGTTAATAGCAGTTGCACTACAAATTCAAAATAAATAATATTTAGTAAATTTTTGAGTACAGCGCGTAGTCAAGCTTTCGGTTTCGGGTGAGCCAATCCCAATTTCATGCTTTCCATTTTTTTTTTTTTGTGAATGACAAGCTCCACCTATGCTGAGTTTGAAAAGTACCAGGTCCATGCCAATGGACACTTTATTATTGTCTTACTCCCCTTCGACTCGGCTCACTACTATGTTGTGCTCTTCGAGATTTTCGAATTTAACTGGTTTCTGGGCATAATTGATGCCAATGTGTTGGTGTATGCTCTATCCAATTTGTCGCTGCTGTACAACATTCATCCCTTCAATAGGTTCCATTGCAAAGATCTGGCGCCAACTATACAAAATCGCTTTACCAATTTGCGCTGGCGACAAACAACCTTCTTTCCCAATAAACTGGCAAATTTACATGGATGTGCCTTGACTTGTGCCACCTGGAAAGAAATGTCCTAGCTTGAGTTAGACGCTGGCTCGCTTGAAGGCATTGAGGGAAAGTTGATCGAATACTTGGCTACAAAGATGAATTTCACTTTGGAATACCAATGGCTGGAGTGGTGGAGCTTTAAGGCCGGCTTTAGATGTTTTACTTCGGAAAGAAATATAAATTGTGTCTCCTGTAAGTGAAAAGGGAATGCATCCATCCGATCTTCCCTTTCTAGGAAGTCCGTTTCGTTACGCTTTCCTACATACAGTTGTAATGGGTACGTTCTTGAAGAGGTAGGCGATATCATCTTCATACGTCTAAGTATGGATACCGGAGTTATTGGCATTGATAGAGATAAAAACAGCTACCAGCAAAGTATAATGCATCCCGTTCTGAAGGCAGTCTCTAGTGGCTCCGCGCGCGATATATTGAACTCCTTCTGTCTGAACAAAAATGAACCGGACGGCATCTAATCCATGTCTTAGAGCCAATTTGCATATGCTACTGAAGGTGACATTATCACCTTCGCCCCCTATGTCTACAAAAATTCCTTAGGCATTGTTTAATCTGGCAAACGGATTTTGCAGAACCGTCACAGGATTTCTCCGCTCCAGCAGAACTGGCGTTTTGAAGTTGTGAAAGGAACCACTACCATATCTTATGGTATCCTCATTCGTCACAGCTCTCGCGACAAATCAGCTGTACCCAGAAAAAACGGTTTTCAAGCTACCTTTACCGAAAGTCATCATACAAATAAACTGTCTACATAGCTCCGGTCAAAAGTGTAGGGTTTCACGACATTTCTTCAGTCATTTAGGGGTAAGTACTTACTGTTTGAGTAGAGTCAGCAAATATTAGAAGAATAGCCGCAGTAGGTGGGTGATTAAGCGTATCTACCTAATACCGCTCTCTTGGATCAAAGTGCGTTCTCAGCTCCAGGAAACGTCTAAATAATAGATGTCGCCCCTTGACATTCACTGATGAACTTCTACGACAAGAAAGCTTCTCACATCGTGTAAAGCTTCAAGACCCACACCACAAATTAGAGGAAATGAGGTACTTTTTAAAATGCATATTTTATTTATATATTTTGCGTAAACTTAAAATATACATAAGAAAGCTAGGAACAATGTGTTACCGAGTCTCAGGTAATATCTCGTTGCAAGCGAACACTTAAATTCCTGCCGTTAATCCGCATACAGCATACTTTCTGCTAATAGTTCAAAAAATCAATAGCCATTTTGGCCAGAGGCGATCTGGTCGTCCAAAGTTCCAAGAGAAAAACCAATGTGCAAAAGCCCATTAAGACTAGATAAACACCGAAAATGCCTGTTAGCAGAAAGAGCGATAACTGAACCGGCTCCTGCGACACCTCACCAGAGTCGGGCAAGCGATAACGATTCTCAAACTTATTTATTATGCCCAAATCAATGAAATCGAGCAGTTTGGCATTGATCGGTATGGTTAGATAGGAATGCTTCCGCATGTACATTGTCAGTGGTGTCATTATCAACTTTTGGGGCAAAATCGCCACCCGCTCATCCTCAGTTTCCTGTTGGTAATTATAATACATCACAGCCGGTTCGATTATGCTCAATATCTCTTTCGAGCCTCGTGCTATACGTTTCAATATCATAGGCATTGAGTTGTTACCACCATCGATGTTAACAACAGCAACATTGCCCATCACCGATGTTAGCAGCTCGGCGAGCACAGGAGCTGTATTGACTACGAACTTTTTTTCGAATATCTCTTGAAATGTTTTCAAAGGTGTTAGTGCGCGTCCATCCTGCAGCATAATGAACAGCTGGCCGGTGTAGGCGGAACGCAAAACCAATGTGCATAGCAGCCACAGGCCCAGAAGATATCGCGAAAAGTTGCGGTATGGCAAATGATTGTGAATAACACCACCACCATACAGCGAGGCCCACAGATTACTGAAGGGAAATCGATTGGCTTTCCCAAAAACAAACGAAACTACTCGCTTGCTGCCGAATAGCTTGAGTGCGTAAATGATGAGCACAGCTAATACAAGATTGGATCCAATGAGCGACCAAATGATGTACTTGAACGGTCGAAATAGACGCTGCAGCGGAGAGATTGGACGGCCGGGTGGTATGGCCACCAGCAAAGGGAAAGCCATGTAGGAACACGATGCGTCCATAATTTGTGCCCGTTTCTTCTCGTACATAAAATATATTATCGAAATATTTCCTTCTCCTTCGACTATCTGGTGGACGGACATTAGAGAGAAGTTACCGAATACATTCATACTTATTTGAATACAAATATAGAGGGAAAACAAATACATATTTACCATTCTTGTAACACCTGTAAGCGTGCCATTTGCGTAAATAGCGCCACGATCATGCGGCTGTGGATCCACAATTCGTATACCAAAATTCATAGCCTCAGAAAGAAGGCTTATTAACATGCCTTCGATGCCATCAATCGATACGATATGTCCGGTCTCATCAACTGTTTTCAAAATAATGAAAGGTGGGTCGTGCCATGTTATTACCCCTAACTCGCAGCCATGGAGATTGTTCACTTTGGGCGGAAAAAAACGTCTGTGGCTTTTGTGGATATATCTTGGTCGCTTGTTTCGAAAGGACATCAATAACTCTGGCTTGGCCGAATGACATTTGGTGCGTGAAAATGGGAAATATGTATAGACAAATGGCGTTGCATCCATCAACAAGAAGACATTGACATTTACAAAGAAGAGTTCAAACAAACGGCTAAATATATTCTTGACCGTTTCTAAACGCTCCGGTTCGGTGCCGGTGTAGACAATCAGAAACCAACCACTGCGTTGGTATGCACTTTGCGGATGATCCAAATCCTTTGCCAAAGCACTGCATATTTATTTGAATGGAATGGAATGAGTACAAAGGTGTTGAGCTAGAAAGCTATCGCCCCAACTTACCCAAATGAGTTCCAACTATCTATGAACCAAATCGCTGTATCGGAAATGTCACCCCACTCGCTTCTATCCACATCGTCAAACATTTTCTCCTGCTCCATGATGTAGACATGATGATGGCGCTTTTCTAAATACACCATTAACGCATCGATCAGCTCCGCTTGATGCAAGTTGCTCTGCAGTTCGCTGGCATACTGCGAAATAATCAACGTCGTCGAAGGATACTTGGCATACACATTCAGAATGGTCCAAGCAATGGCCAGTATCAGAGTATAATTTCCAGTTCTTTCCCATTCAACTCTGCCGAGGTCCCGAAGTATAATATCCATTTCAATTGTAGCAGAAAATCAGAATAGTCCAACCGTTTTGCACCAATGCCATTGGCGAACTACTTAACTGACCATTATACTACATTGGAGCTTTAGGTGTGGATTATGTGTCGTTTTCATAGTTTGGTTTGCGTGTTTGGCGCATCCTTTACCGCGTCGAATACGAAATGCTCTTAGAGCGCTTAATTGGCTGCACGCTGAGGATGTTCCATTTCCATTTGTAAGCTCACGTATTGCATTTAACACGCTGATGGCGAATGAGTTATTTACGTTACATTAAGATTGGCTAGATAGATTATCTGGTGCGAAATAACATAGATGAGCCTATAATTTTAGATAGGAATCGGTGATATACTATTTAGCAACATTGTCTCTTAATGGCGTGAACTTGTTTGCAATTTGGGAAAATCGTTTAACAAAATGAACAATGAAGGGACGTGTTTCAAGTTCAGGGTTTGAGGCGCCAGAAAAAAAAATGTATCGTCCATAAGTATATGCAATGGTATGTTATTTAAAACTGAATTTAAATGACTATTTAAGCGAATTGCGTTTTATTTCAGTTTACATGCGACCATTTGTGATTAGTGCCTATAAGTAAGTATACAGCATAATGAAGCTGAACCATTTGTGCTTATTATTAATTAGCCATTAGTCTACTTAGGGGGTTCGTAGTAGTTCCCAGATGGCTTAAGGAAATTTCGTGTGCATTAATAAATAAGAAAACTGTGATAAATATATAACTATTAAAGCCAATTCACTCAAAATCGATGTTTTGTAAATATCTCTTAGAAATAAATGAGATAATAATAATGTTGGTAATTTACATGCAAGTCAATACTTACAGCAATCTTTTAACAAGAATTGCGATTATTTACGAATTTTCGGATCAGCGCGCACCGCTTACTTATAAAACTACACATGTTTATCTAGGTAAGCACTAGCGTAGGCCGAAAATTCGCTTTTTTAGAATTTTGATTGGTAATAGCAAAAATATCTGTGTGAAATGCGAAAATTTTAGGTCAATATCCTAGGCTAGTGAACCATATTTTTGCTACTACCAATCAAAATTCCAAAAAAGCGAATTTTCGGCCCACGCTAGTAAGCACTTTATTGATTTCCACCTAACTTGCCAGGAAAGTAAGTTACATATGCAAAGTCATTCGCAACCAGAGTGTCCAGATTGCTTAAAAAATAGCACCAAAAATCGGATTTTTTTTTTTAAATTAATGAAATCGACTTAACAAATCTTTTATTTTAAAAATGAGATCTTGTTATAATATACTTTTTGAAACCAAAAACGAATAGAATACCTTCAGGGTAATAATAAATAACACAAATCACTTATACAATAGTGATGTACAAACAATTTTCTTTAAATATAATTTTTAAAAATATTTGTATTAACACATGTTTCAATAGGACTGCGCAATCATTAAATTTATTATTACTCGTATTAATTGAATAATCGCACAATCCGCTTTTAAGCGCTCGGCGATAAAAATAAAATAAAAACCTATAATGAAGCGAGATTAGCTATTTCCACAGTTTCTTCAAAATCACCAATAGTGTCTGAATCATTTACATTTGTGTTGTTGTCATATATTGAGCTATATCAGCTTTCCAACCTCATCCTATTTCGAATCTTAATTTTTGTTGAATTCATTACGGGGAAAAACGCGCTCAACAAAAGCATTTGAGTTCGGCAAGGATAATAATATTTATATATTATATATTATATTTCCAAATATTTTATTTTGCCTGTTGCGGTTTTCGCAATTCACACATATCATCGAAAATCAATCTTAAGGGTAAAATTCAATAAATGGTATAAGCCGCAAAACTAGATGAAACTGTGTTCCTCCTTACACACATGACGACCATTTTACAATTTATGTTAGGCTATGCCACAGCAATTCAACAAAAAATACCAGAACGGCTAAGCTAACCATGCCAAGATATATGGCAAATACTCCCCAAAGATCGTTCATTGCCAGTGCATCGTCGTTAACTGCAGCAACTAAATCATAATAACTCAGGTCTAGATGCTTCTCCGCCCAGTAATCGATTAGGCCTTGACTGCGCAGTCGCATTAGTAATTCATTGAAACGCACAATCAAATAGCTATGCTTTGGGAAATACATCGTGATGTGCTGTGGAAAGAACCTATCGGGTAGCACATAGAAAGCGCCACGTTTATGTTTCACCATCATGTAGAAGGTGAGATAGTCCTTAGGTGTTACGGCTGCCAAATTACCACCCAACTCCTCCACCATTTCGTATGACTTCCACTCGTATGTGTTATTATTAATGATGACGGCTATGCGACCGTTTTGGATCAGAGGCGCCGCGCTCACCGTTTCTAGTGTATTTTCGGTCATAATTAGCGAGTAACCTTTTTCGATAAGTTCGAAAATGTTTTGTGGTGGCGTTCGATAAAGATCAGTTTGAAGCAGTTGATAGAGAAAGCTCTGATAGGCATTACGCATCACATAGCCATAGATTACCCACATAATTAGGACGAATCGTGCGAAATTTGTACGTGGAGTTTGCTCTATTGGAATGCCCAGAAATAGGCTTAAAGTATTGGTGAGCGGCGAACGAGGACGCGGATAGCCGACAATGATATGGGCGAGCGTGGAGTGATCACAGCGACTATTTATAGCATAGGCTAGTAAAAAAATCAGTTGAAAACTAATCAACAGACAGAACCAAGTCTCCAAGTCGAAGGGAAAAGCGAATATTTCCAGTGATGAGTAGGTGTGTCCGGCCAGTTTGACGCCAAAGATTTGCCATGTCTGATAATAGGGTAAGGCGCCTGTGAGTACCTCGCAACGTTGCACAGTGTAACGAAAGCAACCCAGACTGATATCGGCTATGCGTTCGTGCAGCTGGGGTATACGCAGAGAGAGAGAGAGAGAGAGAGAGAGAGAGAGGTTCAAAAAGGTAACGAGCATGAAAATACACGAAGAACCACTACTTACCAGTCTCATAGCGCCAGTTAATGTGCCATTGGCCAAACGTTGACCGCGCAATTCTTTGTTCGGCGGTTCCACCAATTCCATGCTGAAATTCAGCTTCTTTGCCAATTCGACTAGCATGTCGCCTTCGAACGAACCCAGCCGCTCATAGCCACTTCTATTGGGGTAGTAACTCAAATAAGGCGGCGCATCCCAGACGGCCACCGTTAGTGAGCAATTTTGCATGTTGATCAGCTTCTTGGGAAAAATGGTCGCTTCCAAAGGCTTCTGCCAAGTGCCATTGTAAGCATTGATGACACGCACATTATTCGCTTTGCAAGCGCTGTTCTCCAAAAAGGGAAAATACGTGTAGACCTCCACATAGTTGGGCTTACTTTCGTACAGCAGACTGACATGGATGAGATAATTTCGCCAAAAGTAGCTTAAAATGGTGGAGATGAGCAAATTCGGCATTAGTGTTGTGTCAGGTCCAATTAGCAATATCAAGTATTTTTCGGGATCGTCGAAATTCTTGGTGAGCAAAGCGGGATCAAGTTCTCTGTGGAAAGAAAAAGTAAAGTCTCGTAAAACAATTATTTAAAACGCTTTTCTTACACTAACGCCTGCATACTGTCTATCACCAGGAGGTTATACATTCTGCTGGGCGATGGTAGGCGTGGCGAATCCATGGTTTCTAGCTGCACTTTTATGTTGGATATAAATGGTATCGCACAAGTGAGCAGATCCATCATTAGTCGCCATGCTCCTAGATGCTTTGCATGCGTAGAGATGAGTAATTCACTGGAATTTGGCACAAAGTATCGAGTGATTATGCTCGAAAGTGCGTATCTGACATTGTAACTGATGGTCGAATTACAAACGGTGTCTGGCGCCTCGATGCTAAGCGGCGCACACAACTGGATGGAGTATTTTAATAAGAAAACTAATAGCAAAACTCCATACATTACAGCTAAAATCGTTTCAAATATCACTGCGGTGATGCTACTCGGAAAACTGCAGTTACACAAATGAGCAAAAAAGTGGCACGACATCAGGTGCGCAAAGAAATCGTGTTCCACCCGTACAAATGCTTTGCGCTCTAATGGCTGGGCGTAGATATGCGACCGTTAAGTTTAAGTGAATGCTTTGTTAAATTACGGTTAGCCATGAAATACGCATCAAGGTGGGAGCGTGACGTGTGTTGATTATATTAGCGATTTATAGAGCCTTTCGTAATGAATTTGTTTGCTGAAAGGCTAATTGTTTTATTTAATCGAACAAAAATCGCATTTATGAAAAATATTTACATATACGCAGTGGCACATTAAGGAAGAATAATGTGGTGAAACTTAATGACGCTGTCAGAATACATAGATACTTTCGTGGGGTACTTGGATAGTACGGTTAAAAGGGTGGACGAGCCTAATGGGGCTGCGCTGTGTGTTTTTTGGACATCAAGGAAGACTTTGATAATATTGTCGCTGCATATATAGAGGCACAGGTACCTCGGCATCAGATTGATAATTTGGGGAAAATCCCGTCGCTGCAAAGATCCAGGTTTGCTAACTCTATGCCAGAAAAAAATCTGCTTTGGAAGCAAAGTCCAGGCTAATATCCTTCAACCAAACAAATGATCGTACGAGTTCAGTGCGTAATTTTTTTCCTAATTTCTTCATCAAAAGACGGCTCTGCTTCTCAATTGCCTAGATAACCCAACGAAGGAGCTGTCGGCAAGCGTTTTACATACTTCGCTTGATCTCAATGGCGAAGCCTAGATACAGAAGGTCCTTCATTACCTTAAAGTTGTAAATGTCAACTGTGACGTGTGTCCCAATCCACGAAGAGTCTTTGTGCGTCGCTAGAAGGTACTTTGTCTTGTCCTCGCTTACCACTACACCAACCTCTTTTGCCTTTCTCTCTAAGCTTCAAAAACCCGCACTTGAAGAGATCCATCCCGTAAAGGTTTTGAGAGTATACCAAATTTATAGATATGTGGCATCGTAAAAGCAACTTCGTAAATGAAATAAGTTAGTATAAAGTAAAAAGTATTTTTTAAACAAGCATTCCAAATTTTAGCAAAATCGCACCATAAACACGGGTTTTCCAAATACCGCAACTTCTGCGCCACCTATCGACAAAATTTCCTGTGGAGTTATTCATTTTCATGTAAGGAAGATATACATATTCTAAATACATATAACCTAAATCACACTATATATGCGGGTTTTCAAAATATATCGATCCCCGCGATACCTACCGGCTAATTTTTTTGTGGAGTTATTTCTATATACATATGTAAATATCTCGAATTCTGCGCCACCTAGCGGATTAATTCATGCACACTGTATTGTCATCGACTCCTGAGCTAGGTTTAAAAAATTGGTTGGGAGATTTTACCCAAACAAACATACATGCAAAGAAAGTTAAATAAAAGTTTGTAATTGTGAATAAAAACCAATTCGACTAATCTCACAAGCCCAACAAGGGATCTCAATTTTTGATTTTCCAATGAATTTTCATTTTATGAAGTATGTATTGCACGCTTTTTTCGAAAACACAATAATCAAGCACATCCTAATTTGTATGCCACAGTAAGCGTTCGTATTCTGACATGCTGCTAGCAGCAGACGTCGTTCATGCTGTACGACAAGTCGGCAGGACTGTCAACAGTAGTGTGTGTGTGAAGCCCACCCAGCGGCAACTGCTACCCACGAACAATCGCTGAACGCCAACCGTCGACCGCTTGCCGCCAGCCCTCTGTTGCTCGTTTGCAATGTGCATTTATTTGCTTGCCGCACATATGTACATACATCCATGTGCGTGCATATGTGTATGAGTTTTGCCACATGCTGTTGCATATGTATTTCAGTATGACGATTGTCCTCGGTGGTTCTGTACGCCCGCTAATATTTACACACACGCTTGCAACGTCACTCGTATACTTTCTCTGCTGTCAACATTGCGCATTGTATGTACATACCTACAATACAATGATTTAATTTTGCTCGTAATTGTGCTGCGGCAGGCAACAACCCAATAACCACTGCTCACGCAGTCAACACTGGCAGTTGGTTGTTGGCAGCACAACATGTTGCTGGGGGTTTTTTTTTATAATATGAATTTCTTTTGATTCGGTGCGTGTTGCCCCTACATTCATACATATGTATAGACAAACATACATATATGTACATTAGACCGTACCACCTTACAAGCAAATAAAAAAAGTTCGCTCTAAAGTACATAAGTATTTTTGCAAGACAATTAAAATTTTTTTTTTAGCCAAATGCTTTTACAATTTTTGGTGACATCTGCATTCAGTAAAACAAACAATTTTTTTAATATGTACACATGTATGCTTGTATGTATATAGATGTACTAGATTAATCTAAATACCTCGTCAGCAAGAGTTTAATGATTTTTTGTAAGCTTTAATTTGCTGACATTAGGGTGACACGTTATGGTCATAAGAACTGAGTAGCAGTATTTGTATTAGGATGTTCGATTACTGCATTATTTTCAAAACCGGTTTTCGAAATATTAAAAAAATGGCAGTTTGAAAAAAAAACAGTTCCCCATTTTGAAATTAGAGAAAAGCCGGATTATGAAGTTTTAGAATTATCTAATCCCTACTGTATTTCTAATTGATTCTAAAATCATGTTCCACATAAATGATCTCAACAAATGAGAATGTACATAAATATGTAATACTAAAGCAAATTTGAACTAAGCTTTTAAACTGGAAATACCTTAATAAGTAAGAAATTAATAAACATTTACTATGTTGGTGTTGGTTGATTTTTCCGACAGGGTGGTTAGATGATTCTCAAACATTTACTAGTTCCATTATAAACAACATCAATTGGCATATAAATTAACTAGGTAAATTAAATCGCTGTAATCGAGAGCAAAACATAGGATTACTTGATTTAAAAAAATTAAAATTTCAAAAAAAAATCAACTGAAAATATCCAATAAAACCAGTTTGGAATAAAATACAATGTCTCCTCGGGACAAAAACATCGATAATTATACATATTTTAAGATGAGGAAAAATGTTAAAAAGCGAACGACGCAGGGTCGTAAAAAAACTTTGTTTTCAAAATTACCTTGCAAAAATACTTTAGGTTCGAACATGTGCGGCGAACTTTTTTTCTGGTACGGTCTAATGCACATATGTACATTAGGGTGGTCCAAGAGTGCACGAGAAGAAGGTTAAATAAAAAAATTTGAAATTATTATTGGAAGTCTCCTGAAAAAACAGAGTTGCCCGATCGATTAATATTGATTTTCAAGAATTCTATACTATTTTTAGAAAAATTGTTTTTTCCCATAACAAATACATACATGGAAAACTTTGAGCGCCTTGAGCGAACTCCAAATATTTTTTGATTTCAAAACATAGGAAACAGGGGTATATTTTATTCGGTACAGAACAATCTTAGGGGGTGAGAGAATTAAACTTCCGACTTTACTTTTTTTTGGGACCACCCTAATGTACATACATACATATATAACGGCATACATATGTATGCGCAGATGTACATACATACATCCATATGAACATATTTATATGCATGCAAGCGTAAGTTGTCTCTTCTTCTTCTTCTTCTTCTTTTTTTTCTTCTTCTCCTTCATATGGCTTGTGGTCGTCGTATAATGGCTTGTTTTCTGTTGATTTTAATTCACTTATTATTCAAATCATACAATTTCATTTTGCGTCTCTTTGTGTCAGCAACAAACGCAAACATATTTCACACAGAGTTAATAAAATATGTAGCTCAGAAGAAGATGACGGAATTAGCGCAAGCCGACTGACACGCAGAGAAAATGGAATTCCGTGATTATTTGTGCAACAAATTATTTCTCTTTTTTTTTTTTTCGTGTTGCCGCAGGATACAACACAGCTTGAACGAACTACATACATACATGAAAATCATCAACAAAATACAATTCTGTCAAAAATATCCATCCATCCATTCATTGCTCGCGGGACGAAATGTGTTTTCGCTGTGCATTAATTATCATTCATTATACGCGGTTGGTGCTTCTCCTTCGTTGTTCACAATCTCCTGCATTCATCAACTTATTGCTTATTTTCGGTTTAAGCATTTTTGTCACCTTCCTTCAGGTTATTTATTTCATCACCCTCAAGCCGACGGAATACTGCTACCGATGCTTGCGGAACGAACGGAAGCGCGGAAGTTCGAGTTCAATGAGCATAATTGTGCTATTCTTCGATGTTTCACCTGCCGTGCGAAACGTGTAGCCAACCAAATTGGCTGATCGTCGTTGTCGTTGCCGTTTCCTGTGCGCAAGATTTTCAATATTCCTCCCGTAATTTTGTCGTCCGTCGAGAGTTTCGCGTTCTTCACAATACTAGTTATTAGTGTTGATCATTGCCACTTCCGGTTTCTATGGCTGCCTTGAAGCTTTTATAGTAAAGTAAATTAATATTCATACCTACTACATATATACACACATTTGTTAAAATACACATATTAGGGTGGGTCTTAAAAATATCA